CACCACCTTCACTACCACCACCTTCACTACCACCACCATCACTACCACCACCTTCACTACCACCACCATCACTACCACCACCTTCCCTACCACCACCATCACTACCACCACCATCACTACCACCACCTTCACTACCACCACCATCACTACCACCACAACCACCACTCATGACCGCAAATCATTAGAACACATGAATACAGGGATCTACAGACGGAAATCCAATCTATAATCAACCCGAATGTTTATGCAGGTAAAAGTACACACATATAAGATGCGTTACAAACATAATGCTGGATTTCTAGATGTAATTAGTACATAATACAATGCCTAAAGCCACTAGTACCCACAGCGTGTCGGGCAATACTGAACCTGTTACTCAAATTCTTATCCAACCTTCGCCGGTCGGCCGAGCGGACAGCACGCTGGACTTGTGATCCTGGGTTCGACCCCAGGCGCCGGCGAGAAACAATGGGCAGAGTTTCTTTCACCCTATGCCCCTGTTACCTAGCAGTAAAAATAGGTACCTGGGTGTTAGTCAGCTGTCACGGGCTGCTTCCTGGGGGTGGAGGCCTGGTCGAGGACCGGACCGCGGGGACACTAAAGCCCCGAAATCATCTCAAGATAACCTAACCTCTGTTCTATACTCTCCAAAGGGATCGTTTTTGTAATGTTTTCTCGTTAAATTATTCCACAGATCTGCGACCCATATTTCCGAACCATTGTCAACCTATTTAATTCCTAAATCTAAACTTGTCTAAGTGTTTATCCAATCAGTTTGAATCTAATTATAATCCATCAACATTGTTAACAAAAATTTGTATTCAAGGAAAAATGTGAAGAGTTTTCTTATTTTCTCTTCACAAAGGAGAAGGTTTCTAATGGGCGGGATCATCTTAGTCGTTCTCCGTGTGGCAGTGCACAGTAGAAAGTTGTTTTCACATATCCATACATTAAACCATTGATTGTAACCATGATATATATGTACTTCCGTCTACAGTTTAGACCTATTGTCTTATGTATGACCCTCTGTCCTGCGTGACAGTCAATACCAGCATTATCCTCACTTTGACTTAATCGAAATCCTCAGATTAGGCAAAATTGTAGTTAATTTTGTCAATAAAGATGTTAATAATAATAAGTTGTTCTCCTCTAAGTGCTCTTACAGAGTTGACAACTGGAGTCCCCCATAAGAGCTTTATTTACAAACATTTACAATACACTGTGAATCACAGTACCATTTACAATACACTGTGAATCACAGTACCATTTACAATACACTGTGAATCACAGTACCATTTACAATACACTGTGAATCACAGTACCATTTACAACATTTTGGCACTGTTGTTTTCATTCTAGATTCCTTTAATTACGAGTCCTTCATCTTTCTATAATTTAGTTTCTCAAATTCAGTTTCTCAATTACTGTCAACACCTACAAATTTTCGGTCCATTTTGAGAGTTTGTTCGGGCTGCAATATTACCTTTCCGTGGCTTGGTCTGAATTTGATGCCCAGACCACACACTTGAAGGTGAAGGGACGACAACGTTTCGGTCCGTCCTGGACCATTCTCAAGTCGAATCGACTTGAGAATGGTCCAGGACGGACCGAAACGTCGTCGTCCCTTCACTTTCTAGTGTGTGGTCTGGTCAACTTACTTTAGCCCCGTTATTGTGACTTATCGCCTGCATTTGCCTGAATTTATCATCACTATTTGAGTGACATCGGTAACTTTGAGTATATGGTGAACAGTAGAGTTCCAGGTCAGGGCCTGGAACGTGAACGTTTTCGAACGGAACGTTTACGTGCAGTCTTCACTGCCTATACACACCTGTTCAAACAACCCGCCCTCTAAAAATTATATAACCTGGTTGATGGGGTTCTGGGAGTTCTTCTACTCCCCCAGCCCGGCCCGAGGCCAGGCTCGACTTGTGAGAGCTTGGTCCACCAGGCTGTTGCTTGGAGCAGGCCCACATATACCTGCTTGATGGGGTTCTGGGAGTTCTTCTACTCCCCAAGCCCGGCCCCAGGCCAGGCTCGACTTGTGAAGGCTTGGTTCAACAGGCTGTTACTTGGAGCAGGTCCACATATCCCTGGTTGATGGGGTTCTGGGAGTTCTACTCCCCAAGCCCGGCCCGAGGCCAGGCTCGACTTGTGAAGGCTTGGTTCAACAGGCTGTTGCTTGGGGCTGGCCCGAAAACCTACAGCTACTATGGACAGAATGTACAAAATTTGTACTATTGAACCCTCAAAATGTTGACGTTTACGTATATACTATTGGAATACTAATGATCTTATCAATATGCGAGAGAAGAATCATAAACCTAGCCTAGCTTGTCCTTGGCCTAAACATGCAATAATAGGCCTAAAAATGTAAGCTTAACCCTAATTTAGAACATATATATATGTATAAATGTATTGACCTAATGTAGGCCTAATGTACTACATTAGGCTTTGAGAAATTTTGGTTTGGTTCCTGCTGCTGCCTTTCTCATGCTCTATACAACACTAATAGAACCAAACTTGGATCTGTTTGATGAGAAACGGTCCATATTGTGTACCATATTGTGGTACACAATATGGAACGGTACCATATTGTGTGACAATCTCTGTCAGAGATTGACAGCTCTGGGTATGTTATGATCTCTAGTAAGACCAAGAAACAACATACATGTCACATACCATCACTAGAGCACACGTGAACAAATCCACAAGGGCCGTGACGAGGATTCGAACCTGCGTCCGGGAGCATCCCAGACACTGCCTTAATCTTAGTTTGTGTGCCTTAGAGCACACAAACACCTCTAGGTATGATGACAGCAGAGGGATACATACAGTAGCAACTCGGGGGTATACAACGGCCAAATGCTCGGTCCTGTATATGTATATATATATATATATATATATATATATATATATATATATATATATATATATATATATATATATATATATATATATATATACAGTAAATTATCGTAATCATTCATTTACGGAGTTGAAGGACCCGCCCCCCCCCCCCCCAACCCTCGACTTACGGCCTTATCAATCAACTTCTCAACCCCATTTCCACATTTAACATTATATATATATATATATATATATATATATATATATATATATATATATATATATATATATATATATATATATATATATATATATATATATATATATATATATATATATATATATATATATATATAATTTGATACATAATACATACAGCCCGTTCACACACTAAGGTGTCCATTTGACGCGTTAATAGTTTTGTTATATAAATTACACCCTTCTGCTGTGAAGAAAGTAACTAGAGCTATCTTGCCTGGGCGGCGACTACAGGTCTGGGCACCACTGTATTTCCTGCGTCTCCACCTCCAGACTCACCGGCAGCCAGGAAATGCCAGGTGGCTACCTTACCACCACCTGCTGGAGGAGCAGACGGTGCGCCCTGCGTCTTCGTCATGGGTGTCCTTGGGTTATGGTTGGGGGGAGAGGGGGGATGCAGGGAGAGGGAGGGGGGAGGGGGAAGGGGGGTAAGTTGGGGAAAGGATCGTGCTTGTATCCGCCTCAAATAGATCTATCGCTGCTGCTTTGGACGATTCAAGTTCAGCCTCTTCAAGTTCAAGTACGTTTATTGAGACAATAAAATAAATCTCAAAAGGGATAGAGGAGCTTAGGCTATTTCTATCCCCGCCCCCCCCCCCCTCTGCCCCTTCATTCCTCAACTGGAGCGGGTGTCTACAAGAGAGCGTTCTTAGCTTGCCGTCAAGATCGCCATAGTTCATCTAATGCTTTCCATTCTTCATCTTGGCACTCCGAAGTTATCGTGTTCCTACTGCTCACTTAATCTCGCACTTTGCCGTTCTCTCCTCTCTAGTACCTCATCTTAACACTATCCTTCACTGTGCACTTACAACTTGGTCAACTTCTATTCCAATAGCAAATGCTTTAGAAAACTGTATTAAAGCAAACACCGGGCAATTACTAGCTATCTTTCGAAAATTGGCGGCTTGAAGCTCAATCTTTCAAGATAACCTCAAATGGAAACCTCACTTCAGGTGAGTCCAAAGAGAGGCTTCCAAAAGTGTTCCGTATCCTCTTCTGGTTTAAGATGGTTTACTTCTCAGTTGCTTCAACTTTCTCAAAGTCTCCTTCGTCCGTGTTATCTCGGGTAGCTCACTCTTCACACATTCCTCGTCATCTACAAGCTGCTACTGTGGTAGAAAATAATAACAAATAAAATAAATAAATTACTTCGCCCGGCCTCGCATCTAAGCTCAGGTAATTATCGAGAGAAAGCACTAAGCCATTGCGATTAGCTAGCACTCGAAAGGTATATGAGGACAAGGTTTTGGGATAGGAACAGAGGAACGGAGGATAGGAGCAAGGAACGGAGGGAAAGGAACTGGGCTTCAACCACTGGGGACGGTCGGGGATTGAACGTCGACCTGCAAGAAGCGAGACCGTCGCTCTTGCCTCCTTCGTGGAGGTGGTAGCAAGAAAACACTTCGTCCCATTCATATATAGAATACTATATATGCATTATACATATATAGTATTCATATATAAGAATACATATAGAGAATACACTTGGACACTCTCAGTCCAAGTGTCTGGGTGTCCTCACATCTATGCTTGAGACGTCATCAGCCTCCCGCCAAAAACTTGAATTTTCTCTACCATCTACGGAAGATTGTGAGCCCCGTCTTCCCATACAGTCGCCTCAGTCAGTACCCCAAGGCGTCTGTCTCCGCCCTACACACAGTCATCTTATGGAACGTTTTCCTGATACTCTTCGTCTCCAATCTTTAAAGCTGTCCGTGTCCCCCCCCCCCCCACACACACACACGGTAGGCGGTAGGTGTGGAAAAGTCAGGTATAGAGGCGTCAAGATGGGGGGTCAATAGGTGTGACTATGTAGGGTGAGAAGGCAACAGGAGTCGCACAGGAGGCAGGAGGTGTAAAGCCGTTAAGAGGTGTGAAGGTATCGTCTGCAGTCGTCAGGTGTGTTGGCTCCAGGTGTGGAGGCTCCAGAAGGTGTGGAGGCTCCAGGTGTGGAGGCTCCAGGTGTGGAGGGTCCAGAAGGTGTGGAGGGTCCAAAAGGTGTTGAGGCTCCAGAAGGTGTGGAGGGTCCAGAAGGTGTGGAAGGGTCAGTTAGACGCACAAGGGGGTCGCCACTGCGCCAGTCATTGGATTAAACTCACTGATACACGAGAGGAATCACTAAGGTGCCGTGCGGGAGCTGGGTACCGCACCGTACCATTTCTCCCAGGAGCAGCAGTGTCGTGGGTAAACGTCTTGGGTATTACCAGGTGCTTCTTGGTGTTTGTCTCTAAGGTTGGCTATACTTGCAGGGGAGTGTCTTTAGTGCAGGCGATCCGTTACAATAACGTGGCTAAAGTATGTAGATCAGACCACACACTAGAAGGTGAAGGGACGACGACGTTTCGGTCCATCCTGGACCATTCTCAAGTCGATTGTGTCTTTAGTGCTGATACAGCCTCTCAGCATTCAGTTTACTGGGCTAATTTAGGATTGTCTTGAGTTGTTAGTTCGAAGGACCACTGTCCCCTCGGCCTGGCCTCCTGGCTGTTGGTCTACGCAGTAGACGTAGATCTATCAATCACAGCTTGGTAGAACGGGTAACCCCCCCCCCCCTCCCATCGAAGGTGTTTTATCTAGTTCCCTATTTAAAGCCCCAAAAGGTCTGTTGGTAATTTCCCATATATTTAGAGGGGTGGTGTTAAAAAACCTTGGGCCCCTAATGTTTACAGTATTGCCTTCCTGAGCCTATTAGGCTCGGTCATATCTACACTTGAAGCTGTGTATATTGTATGTCTCTCACTTGCTATTGCTCTCCATTTGGTCACTATACTTAGAAATATCAAATTGTATATTTCTATGTTCGTTCACAAACTTAAGATTCCATTTGTATTCCATTGATCGTGTTACATCAGTGCCAAAAATCTGTCTGTATCTGCCCTGCGCATACCCCCTGAGAACTTCCAATGTTGTGATCATATCTCCATTTATTCTTCTCTTGCCGTTGCCTAATGTTTTCATTTTTAGTCTATCCTCTTAACTTATACCTCTCTCTCTCATCCGAGAGTCGTCAGGTGGAATATCTGGACTTTCTACATCTTCGTTTTGTGTTAAAACAAGATGAAGACTCCACTGGTGCCGCATACTTCACAACTGGTCTGACATATGTGGTATACAATACCCTGAACGACCTCTTAAGATCTTACACTCCTCATCTGATTCAATTCGTCTCATTAATTTGGCATCGTCTGCAAACATTGATATATATATAACTCAAATCCTGTAAATAGGTCATTAACATAAATGAGACATAGTATAAGTGCCAGCACCGATCTGTTTTACTCTACACTAGTAGAGCGTCTCGCCTCTGTGACTGACTCCTGTCAGTTAGACATTCCTTATACATGCCAATCCGCTTCCATTTATTCCCGCCTGTTTATGAGGTACTGTGTCAAAGGCTTTTTTGGCAGTCCAGAAATACTCAATCTATCCAACCTTTTCTGTATATAAAATGTATAACTAGCTTAACAAGACTGTTACTTGCTTAGCTAAATGAACTGTAGGGTTCAGTTCCTGAACCCATTATGTACCTCTGTAACCCTTTTCACCACGGCCCACGGGATGGGTATGAGGTGAATAATATGTATGATAAAATTTTATTTTAATTTGTATGATTTTTTATTTTAATTTGTATGATTTGTATGACAAATTTAATTTGTATGACTTAATTTCTTTGTCCTGCCTTATTAAAGTCATGTTGAAGTTTCTTTACATACCTAATTCTCTCTCCAGGTGTGTAACTAATCTTATTCTTATTTTATTCTTTTTGAGTATGTTGCAGGGAATGCTTGTCAGCGACACTAGTCTGTAGTTAAGTGCCTCTGTAACTCCTTTCTTGTAAATTGGTATCTTATTTGCCTTTCTCCAGCAGCTGGGCAGTTCTCCCCTTATAATTGAATAATTCAAGATAAATGCTCGAGGTATACTGAGGGCTGAGGTCGCTTCTCTTAACGTTGTCCGGTCTTATAGCTTCAGTTTCACCAATTGATACTAATTGTCTCCTTATTTCCTCTACTGTTTCGTCAATATTTGTCAGTCTCTCTCGTGTGTGTGTGTGTGTGTGTATGTGTGTGTGTGTGTGTGTGTGTGTGTGTGTGTGTGTGTGTGTGTGTGTGTGTGTGTGTGTGTGTGTGTGTGTGTGCGCGCGCGTGTCTGAATGTATCTCCCATCATGTCCCAGAAGCGAACAACCGGGCGAGCATGTTTGTTCACGTCCGGTCATTTGTTCCACAAACCCATCACTTGGCGGGCCTGTTACGCGGTGCTGTGTGGCGTCAGCACCAAGGAGAGGGCTCACACCGGAGGCCAGGTGGCCGCCACGTCTTGGGGGGTGTGGGGAAGGGGCTTGATGTTGAGCCCTCGCGTGCTGCCTTGCCAGGTGGTGGGTGTAACGGTGGTGGTGGTGGTGGTAGTCGTATTAGTGGTGGTGGTGGTGGTAGTGGTCGTAGTTGTGCTCGTGGCTGTGGTGGTTGTGGTAGTTGTCGCTTTGGTGGTGGTTGTATTAGTGGTGGCAGTCGTGTTGGTGGTGGTGGTAGTCGTTCTGGTGGCGGAATTGGTAGTGGTGGAAGTCGTGTTTGTGGCGGGAGTGGTGGTGGTGGTTTGGTGACTATAGTCGTGTTGGTGGTGGTAGAGCTGGTTGATGAGGTTGTGGTAGAAACTCCCGCTGGGGGGGGAGGGGGGGGGAGGGGGGACGGGGGGGGGGGGGGGGGGGGGGGGGGGGGGGGGGGGGGGGGGGGAGGGGGGACGGGGGGGGAGGGGGGACGGGGGATAGGGGGGGGAGGGGGGGGAAGACTGGCAGGGTGGACGACCCTACAAGGACAACCATCCCTCCCCCCCCATCCACCAACCACCTCGTTTGATCTGCCACAACGTACAAACCCCAAGCCACCCACTTAACCTAACTATCCTAGTCATAGAAAACGGGAGATGTTTGTGAGCCACTGCTATTCATAGTGTGCTGGTGACCACAACGTTCAAAATGAGACGTATTGGTGGAGAAGACGGAGTGGAGCAACACAAGATTACCACCACTGCGTCACCACCATCACTGCGTCACTATAACTGCGTCACCACCATCACTGCGTCACCCCCACCATCATCATCACGTAGATTTGACACTAGGTTGTAACACGTGGCTGTAACACGTGGTTGTAACACGTGGCTGTAACACGTGGTTGTAACACGTGGCTGTAACACGTGGTTGTAACACGTGGTTGTAACACGTGGCTGTAACACGTGGCTGTAACACGTGGTTGTAACACGTGGCTGTAACACGTGACTGTAACACGTGGCTGTAACACGCGGCTGTAACACGTGGCTGTAACACGTGGCTGTAACACGTGGCTGTAACACGCGGCTGTAACACGTGGCTGTAGCACGTGGCTGTAACACGTGGTTGTAACACGTGGCTGTAACACGTGGCTGTAACACGTGTTACTTTTGTATTCCTTTTAGAATTCCTAAATTACAAAACGTGAACCGTTTTAGGTACAACAGTACATATTTGTACATTTTAGGTACAGTATTCTGGGCTACCTTGAAGGTGGGGGGGGGTTCCGAGGATCAATTTTCCCGCAAGCCGGTCTCTGACCAGCCTGATAGACGCCACTGCTCACAGTCTGACAAGCCATGACTACCAGAGTCACAGCCTGGTTGATCTGTGCGTGCCGGAGTAAAAATTGTAGGGATGCTGTAGCTAAAAAAAGGAGATGGAAAGGAGGCCTGGTCGAGGACCGGGCCGCGGGGACGCTAAGCCCCGAAATCCTCTCAAGATAACCTCAAGATGCTTTATTTAATAGATTCGGATACTGTAGCAGAAGTTTCCTCCATATGATCTCCACGTCGGCATCTTCTCCATCTTTGAATGGCGCTACTAAGTTGCACAAGAAAATTAAGCCCTACATGGGTTCTATAGGTTCAAGAACTTATTTTTGGAGGATGAATTGATGAAATATATATGAATTCAATCTGCCAGTGCTTCCTGACTCACTAAGAGACTTGTGGAGACAATGATGAGAAAGTGTAGAGCAGGTGGTGGTGATGCCACACAATGAAGAGGGGGACTATACTAAGGGATGAAAGGGGCCACGACAAGTAGCACGGGTCTAGTAAGGGGCCACAGCTGCTCCACAGGTGTACGGGAGAGGGTGGGAGGGGGGAGGAGGGGGAGGGTCTCAACAACAGCTGACCGACAGGTGAGAGGAGAGAGAGAGAGGGAGGAGGAGGAGGAGGCATCAGTATTCCTGAAACCGTCTCTAAGACGTCGAGGATCTCCACCGCTACACACACCACACAACTGAGACACAAAGATATCTTAAAAACAAACTTCAGGAAATTTGGAACGGGTCAGACGAAGAAGTCGTTGAAATTATCTCAGTATACAATTTTAGAAGGAAATTCGACAAGAAAAACGTGGGAATACCTCAATGTATTCCACTAAAAAAATGTTCAGAGATCGGGGCTAGGATCTGAGCACGTCCCTGCACGCACATGAAGATGAACACACGCACGCACGCACACACGAATTGCGCACGCACGCACACACACACACACACACACACACACACACACACACACACACACACACACACACACACCTCTTCCATGAAAAAGTCAGGTGGTAAGCGAGGACAGAACTCAGCTGCAAGTGAATTATATATTCCATTTTTTTTGGTAATGATGCGCTCTTAAGTTTCCAGTGTGTGTGTGTGTGTGTGTGTGTGTGTGTGTGTGTGTGTGTGTGTGTGTGTGTGTGTGTGTGTGTGTGTGTGTGTGTGTGTGTGTGTGTGCGCGCGCGAGTGCGCGCGCGCCTGTATATTACAAATATATGTAATAGACATAATAGACGAAAAATAGATTGGTTAGAAAGGCGGGGTCCATGAGCTGGACTCTGCAGCCACAAATAGTAAATACCCACACACACACACACACACACCACACACACACACACACACACACACACACACACACACACACACACACACACACACACACACACACACACACACACACACACACACACACACACACACACACACACACACACACA